ACCTGGGCAAGCAGCACTCCACTGCGTGCAATAGCCGGGCCGGGGCTGAAGGGTCTCGCTCCGAGCTGATCGTTGCCCCAAAGAGGGAATATTGCCTCTTTTAATAATATTTTCTCCAGCTGGGTTGGGTTTCTTTTCCCCCTTGCGAGGCCGCAGCGGTGACAGCGGCACCCGGCATCCCCGTGCCAGCGTAGGGGCTCAGGGTAGACAGGGTCGTGTGGGCTGCGGGTGGGAAGAGTTGTGCCATGCTGGGGACAGGGGTGACATCCGTTTCACCCCGCTGCGATCTCAGGCACGGCCGTGGCACTTGTGGCTTTGCAGGCTTGCCTGCGCAGCTGCCGGCACGGCTTCCCGCCCAGCAGCACCGGAGACCTCCGGGACGTGGGTGCACAAGGCTGGGGGGTGGGAACCCTGGCTGGAATGTGTGCGTCTGCTGGGGCTCGTGGGCTGGCTGGACCCTGGTGCCGTGCTGGGCTGGTAAACACCAAACTGGGCAGACTCACCTGTTTGCTCTTCTAGGCCAGGCTGGGAGGAGCGGGGCTGATTCTGCAGTGTCCGTGCAGGGATGGCAGCAGGGCCTGGGCATCCTGCGGGATTTCTGCCCTGGAGAGGGTTAGCTGCCCTGCATGCCGTGTGATGGAATCACTCCCGTGCACGGGCCCGGGGCCAGACCTGAGAAATGCTCATCCCAGAGGATGCTCCATGCGTTTGCTGGAACAGGATGTTCATAACATGTTGAGGGGTGACTTCAGAGCCCCATAGCCGGGCTTGTTCACAGGGATTATGGCAGCTCCTGCAGAACCTCTCCCTTCCCACAGCTTGCAGTTCTGCCTCTCTCTCTGGGCCAGTCCCACCACCTTCCCTGCACCCAGGCACTTTCCTTTGAAGAAAAGTTGGGTGAGGTGGTGAACGGGTCATGAGGGCACGCAGGAAATGTGTTAGAGACCTTTAAGCAAAGGAGATGAGGGTGAAATGAGAAACAGTTGAGGCAAAGGTCTGGTTTTTTATTAGGGAAGCCTGGCAAGTTCCAGGAAGGCTGGATCTTTGCATGGCATATGGTAGTTTATAAAGATAAGACTCTTGTGCCATCTTGGAGGTGTTGCTAAATCCACATCCTAGATGCTGCCTGCTGCTTTTAACCCTGTGCAGCCTTCTACGAGAGCAAAAACTCCGAGTGGAGCTGAATCTTTCAGCAGCTGCTGAGAATTAGACTCTGCTCCCAATAACCTGCAGCTTCCTCCAAACCCTCTCGAGCCCTGTCTCACGTCCTGGAGAGCCTTCATTTTCTGCAGCCTTGGGCTGTCTTGAAGTGTAAGGGTGTCACATCCTCCTTCACCCCCCCTCCCTGCTCTCTTCCAGCAGGGTGATCTCATGGCACATCACAGGGGCATTGGGCTGGGAAGCAGGAGGCATGTGGGCAGCAGCGCTCTTGATACTGGAGAGGATGGTGGGAAGCTCTTTGACCCCCAGCAGAGACCAGCAGTGAGCTGTCTTGGGCGTTCACTTGGTTCGCAGGAGCGGGAGTTTAGGGTCCTCCCTGGGGAGCAGGTCAGGGACCTGCTGTCGGGGACGTAGCTGCTGGTCGCAGATGTGTGTGTGTGTGCAAAAGGGCTGCGGCGTCTCGTGTTGCAAGAGAAGAAAGCGCTGCAAGAAACTATATTGAGAAGGAAACTGAAAATGAAAGTTCCTCTTAGATGACGGTCACAGTCGCAGCCTGCCGCTTCCTAGGGGTTTGCCAGGCAGAAAATGTGAAGAAGCACGAGGCAGCTGATCCCCAGGCCCTGGAGTCCTGTGCTCCCCAGCCCTCCTTCACACAGGGCTGCATCAGAAATTCCCTGTTACTCGTGGCTGAGGTCTGGCTCAGAGGCAGTGGGTTGATGTGAAACACAACCGGTTGCGCCTGTAGACCAAACTGTAAAAGCTCCAGAAGCAGCTGAACTCTTTGGCTGGATGCGTCCGCGTCCTCCCCAGCGCTCGGTACTGCCTCGAGTTGTAGCAGCGCGAAGTAGGGTGGAAATTCATCCTGCTTCGCTTGGCCATGAACTCCAGAGAGCCGCTCCAAATCTGGTCTGGCTTCCCCTTGAAAGGCACCGAGGCCCTCGCCTGCAAGGTGGGCTGCAGCCATAGCCTCGCTACACGTCCGAGCAGGGGCTGGGGATGGCAGGGGAGGTTTCCTCTGGGGAGGAGAGCCCACACACTCCCTGAGCTGTCCCCACCACGTCCTGGAGCAGAGAAGAGCAAGGAGAGGAGCAGCTCTGAAGCCCAGGTCTCTGCTGAGCTGGACAAGTGGGAGCCAGCTCTCCTCCCAGCTTTACCCTCAGTCCCCGCTGATGATCCTCGTGGCGTTTTCAGCTTTTCCTTAGATGGGGATGTTAGAGGGGAGGAAAAGGGAAATCCGGTCCTCGGAGGTACGTAGAAAAAACAGCATCTCCATCTGTGTTGCTGCGGCTCGGGCTCCCTGCGTGCAGCTACACCGATACACGATGGCTTTCTAAGCCAGGCTGGCCAGTGTTGCATTTCCAAGCCCCCATCCCCACCCTGACAGCAGCCTGCACTTCACATGACTGCTTATGGTCTCAATTTATTTTTTTCTTCTGAATCATCTTCAGTGTGAGGTTGTGAGCTTGGACCACGCGTTGCACTTCCAAGCTTGACACAGGTGGTTATTGCTCCATAACCAGCACTTCTTAAAAACTTTGCCCAGCACACCATTTAAACTCCTGGGCATTGATGTGTCTTCATAAATTTAGACCTGGTGCAAATCAGAACCCCCACCAGTTTAGCCCTGTAGAAGCCTGGCTGAGAACATGTACTGGCATGCCAAAGAGCAGGCCAGGAGCTGCAGCGATCTCTTGCTAACCCTGACGGTAACTGCGTGGCCTCGCTTCCTTCTCTGCAAAAACCAGGGGGTGAGGCCAGTGCAATGAGCAGAGGTGCAAAGGAGCTGTACTGAGCGCTGAACTACGGGTCTGGCTTTAGGATAGCCGTGAAGTTCAGGGGCAGGACGAGCTGTGCGTTGGTTCTTATTTGATTTCTTATTCTAAGAGGAGCTCAGAAGGCATAAGGAACAGGGGGAATTCGAGCCTCTGGATATAAGAAAACAGAAACCTCATCTCTTGTAGAAGTTGTGGAAAACAAGTGGGAGGCGCTTGCCAGGGGACATCGGCACTGTCACGACAGCTCCGCGCGGGAGCCACGGCGGCTCGAGTGTGGTCAGGGGTTGGTTTGCTCTGGCCACGCTCTGAACCACCGTGGCTGCAGGTCGGGGCAGCAGCATTTTGGGTAGCAGCGGAGCCCCACGGCTCAGCTCCCAGGCACGTTCTCTGGGTGCAGCTGGGGAACTGTGGAGCCCCTTGCACTATGATTTTTGCTTTCATCCCAGCACGAAGCCACTGCAGATGCTTCTGCTGTCTGGGCTGAGCACGAGCCGGCACAGCCCATGGCACTTGCTGAGCGGGTCAGGGGATCGCAGGTTGCCAGCAACAGTGGGGAGGTGGTGAAGTGGGGTGGGGAGTTGGGTGGGTTTCCTCTTCTGGCATACGACTGCAAACACGTTAGCGAGAAGAGCCAGGAGGAGAGGAGAAATCTAGCCAAGGGACTTGGTGTGGTCAGGAATCAGGGAGCGAGCGTGCTGGGAAGGGAGGAGCCAGGTTGCTGGCAGAGATAAAAGCAGGCAGCATTGCTCCTCTGAGCACTTGGCTCAGCCAAGGGGGCTTCCGAAGGCTGGCCTGGGAGGTGGGTGAGGGAGCAAGGGGCTGTGAGGCTCCCGTGTCCCTGCTGGCTGCTCATAACCTGGTGTGTTTACTGTCTCTTGTCGTTCCAGGTAAAGCTGATACTCCCAAGCATCTCTCTGCAATGGCCTCAGGGAACGACGGTGACCCACCGAGGGCCCGCAGACGCCAGGGAAGCAACAGGCGCCGGCTGTCGCGAGAGCTCAATACAGGTAAAAAGGTTGCTGTGATGTTCAGGGAATGAAGCATTTTCAATGCATTCTTTTTTTTTTTTTTCCCTCCCCCTCTCTCCCCTGCTGTGTTTCTTGGAAAAGATGGGATTTTCCTACCGCCAGGGCCCTTTGCAAGACCGGGATAACAAATCAGTTCCGTGAAGCTATGCTGAACTGAACTGGGAGAGCACATGCTCAATGCTTTTGGAAGATGCTTGGCATTGGATTAGCATGGTGGGCAGCAAGGAGGGCTTGAAAGGCACCGAGAAAACACTGTGAACAGTGTGCAGGGAGCTGCCGGGCTGGGGCGTGCTGGCAGCTCTGCGCAGGCAGGCGGAGGCAGGCGTAACGGGGAGCCACGGGGCACAGGGGCTGGGACATGGGGCAGGTCGTCCCAGCTGGCTGCGAGACGTTCGGCTGGTGCCTGCTGTCATTTACTTTCCCTTCCCTAAGCACAAGAGAGCGAAAGGTGGCTGATGTTTAAAACTCTTGATGTTTAAAACCACGCCTTGCTGAGCAGCGCCCGGTCTCGGGCAGTTGGTTTCAGTCTTGCTGTATGGGCTGCTGGATGAAATCAGGTCTCCGGTGTGTCTTGGCATAGCAGAGATGAAAAGTTACAGCAAAAAAGAAGGGGTTCAGTCTGTTGCTCGTGTGTGCCGAGCCCAGCAGACTGTGTAATTGTGTTTCACAGTAATGGGTGAAACTGGGAACGGGGCCGAACGGAACGCAGGGAAAACCTCAGCTCCCATTTCATCCCAAAATGATAAAATGCCGCTGCACAGAGAGCTGTTAAACATGGGTGACTTCTTAGCCTGTTTTTCTGTTGGACTTGTAAATAAGGCTGAGTCACTGCAGCCCTGTCCATGTGGAGATTAGGAACTATACCTGTGTATGCATTTGAGCTCAGATCCAGCTCTGAGCTGTTTTATCGGCCCAATTATGTTATTTATACTCTGGTATTGCCTGGACTCCTCTCCATCTCTAAGTAGCACTTGTGCTAGATCCTGCATGAATACACTGGAAGAAAAAAATACCCTGTCCTTCCCTTACCAAAGTCTACAAGGTATGAAAATAAATAAATAAGAGCGGCTGTTTACGTATGCTGATTTCCTGTTGAGGCCAACAATGCTGATGTGAAAACCAGTTCAGGATCAGGCCCTGAACTCTAACCACACTGGTTTACAGTCGTGCTTCCTGTACGCTCGCAAACCCTCACTGTCTGGGCAGTGCTGGCATCCCTCTGCTTCCCAAAACTCAAGGAGGGGGTCCCTCTGGGATTTGGAGGTGGGATCTCTGATCGCTTCTTAGGCAGAAGCCTCATGGGCCCCAGTGGAAGCAGAAATGTGCAGCTTCCACCAACGCGTGCTGTGGGATTACGGGGTGGGAAGCGGCTTTCATCAACAGGTATTAAGCCTGGTTTTCCCATAGGGCTCACTTGTGCTGTTTATCTTTGGATGCGGTAGGGAGTGAAGAGATTTACCTGCTGCTCGAGGAGCTGCTTGAGCATCGTTCTGAGCTCTCGTACCAGCATTGCTTAGGGCATGGACAAGGTGCTGCTGTTTCTTTCTAGGTCGGGTGGCAGTTTGCTCTTGCGGTCTTCTTAGGGCATTGTAGACAAAGGCATGAGCTTCGTAATCCTGGCTGTATGCGATGAAGAAGAGCAGCGACTTTGCTCGTGAAGAGTTGTGCAGAGGGGAGCAAACATTGCAGAGGGAGGGGTGAGAGGCCCAGCACCACCAGTACGGAGCAGAGCTCAGGAAACTGGGCTCATACTGCACAAAATTAACCTTGCCCTCCTTCAGTTCTCACCTGTAACGTGGGGGTGGCAGTGCTTCCCTCTTTGGACGCGCTGCCAGGCTATGCACACAGCTACAGGAAGGGTCTGGGCTCCTGGAGGCTCAGATCTGCAGGACAAGCCATGGACGTGGCTCTCCTCACGCTTGCAGGCAACCATGCCATAGCCGAGGGGTTAATCCACGCGATGAAAATATTGTTTCCGTGGTCGCCGTTAGCTCCTGCGTGGACCACGTTAGCTGGAATCACAAACCACTTTGCTGAGAAAAGGTGATGTGTTGCTACATCTGCTTATTAAGGGAAACGGGGAGAGCTTTGATGCAAATCCCTGCAAGGGTGCCCAAGGTGTCAGGGCTGTGCCCAGCCACCCTGACTCACCGTTTGCAGCGTCTCTTTCTCAGATTACCCGGGCTTTCTCGTCTCTCTGTGTGTATTTAGTACTCACGCAACATACCTAGAGAGGCGTGAGGTTTGGTCCGTGGTTGTTTGTCTTTGCTCTGGACTTGGCGTTGCATGTGAAGCAAGTCATGAACTGATAAATCGTTGCTTGGGGATGTCAGTCGTGCATCTGCGAGCGTCTCCGTGTCTTCATCTCCAAGACCACCTGCAGAATGAGCAGGAAAAATGTGACCTGCTGGTTTAAGCCTGGGTCCTCATACATTCTGTAGAGCAACCCAAACTATTTAAACATGCTTTTCTCCTGCCTGGTGCCCATGCAGTTCCTGTCTCCAGCACAGACATAGAGTAGTAGATTTTCCTGTTGAACTGCATCTCTCATCAATATGTCATTTCCGTTTTTTAAAAGAGAAAAAAAAAAAAAAGTCATCTGTCTGATGGCTCTTCTGGGAAATAACTCTGCTCTGGAATTGCCTCGTGACTCCTTCATTCTGGCCTGCAAAAGATGCCCCAAAAAAATCTTTTATGAAATACTTGGTGGGGCAGAGGGAGGTAGATTGGCGGAGCTGAGATGCCCACCCATCTCGGGGGCGTCCCGCTGAGCACTGGGCCCAGCCTCCCTTGCCAGCTCAGTAGATCAGCAAACACAGGACAGGTCTCAGCTTGGGCAGCAAAGTGTCAGAGCAAAACCTTGCTGCAGCCCCAGCCCCTGCTGCAAGCCTGTAACCCTGGGGGTGCCGGTGGGAGACCACTGCGCCTAAGAATTAACGCAGATTTCTTGAATCCAGTCCAGAACCTGGAGCAGAGAATCTCCCTTAGTGACAGATTAATTTCTATATTAAAACCCCAGGGTGTTTGCCCATTAGCTCTGCAGGAGGCTCTCTGAGAATATTGCTCCTCTTTTGGGTGGGAAGGTATTTGTTCCCAAGAGCAGAATAAGGGGAAGGGCTTTGTGCTGCGCAGCCGCCTCCGGGGATGGCGGTTTTCCATTTCCCTGTCTAGCTCTGCTCTCGGGTGCAAGCTGTGCGGGATGGTGGCAGCGTGATGCAGCCTCAGGTGGATCGGCCTTTGATCCCGGACGGCATCGGCATTGACAGGCCATACGTTTCCCAAGGAGCTGCCTTGCCCACTGGAAGCTAACCCATTAACGCAGATACCGCTCATTCCACACTTGAACTGCAATTCCCATGAGGGGGAGTCAAGCTTCCCCTCGAGGCAGAAATCTCCAGAGACCATTCTTGATTCCCTGGAGCTGTCTTCTCCCTTCGGAGCCAGTTGCTGTTTCCAGGCTGGGTATCCCCCTCTGTGCAAACAGATGCACCTCTCCGTGTAGTCACTGCCTGGCTCCTGAGCTCAAAAGGGATGCTGCCAGGATGCATCTGTCATTATTACAGGCTATTTAATTTAGTTGTAACCAGGTCTGATGGATAGCTCTGGTGAGACCTGCCAGTTTTCGCCGTAGCGCAGCTGCTCCCCGGGAGATAGGAAGGGTGAGACGCAACGGATCTTGCGCAGAAACGCGGACATTGCGTGTTTGAGACTGGCTGGGGTCTGGCCGATGGTGTCGACGGTGCGGATCCAGGCAAGAGGTGGTTGGGGTAGGGCTGGTCTAGGTGCTGAGAGTGTGCTGGGGACCGAGGACAAGCGGGTCGCTGCTTCACGCAGCAGAAGTGGAGCAGGTCCTACCTTGCTGCAGGGGGGTTCACAGCAGCTCCTGAGCCCCCTAACGCAGCTCCCACAGGGAGCCCAAAGATCCCAGAGGACCTCCGAACCACTCTCCTCCTCTCTGCTGCTGGTACGGGGAGGCCACAAGGCAAATCTTGATCCAGATCATCTTCCTATGAGTGGGAGAGGCCCAGAGACAGTCCCAGTGGGTGCTGTGGGTTAACACCTGGGGGAAGAGATGTACCTTCTCCTATCCTTGTGTAACTAAAAATAGTGCCTGGGGTAATTAAAACCAGGCATTTTTTTGGTACACTTATTTCCTCTCGTCTTCTCGCAGTGTGTTTACCCTGCCTCTGTCTGAAACTGTGAGTCAGTTGGTTTTGTTTTCTGGCTCTCAGTGGAGCCATCACCGGTTCCGCTGGCTCCTCCGTAAGGTGGGATTTGTTTACCACCAAATAAACCCATTCCTGCAAAACAAAAAACAATCCCCTGAAAACACCCAGCGACCAGGGCTCGTCACTTCCCTTCACCTTTATTTACCCAACCTGAACTCGGTGTAACCTGAGTCTCTGCACGACAGGTCCTCTCCCTTCCCCACACCCCATCCTGGGCTGGGCCCACCTCCCCGGAGCATCACGCAGGCCAAGTAGATGTGACCAGCTGGAAAAGCTCCGTGATGAGGGTGCGGCATGTTTCAGAGACCGGGATATAGGGTTTTATGGAGCGGTGTTGCCAGGAGAGCTGTGTCCACCAGGCCAGGTCCTCACATCCCAGCCCTGGGACATTGCTCAGGCAGGAGCATTTCTGCATTGGAAATGAAATTTCCAGTGTCCAGAGAACTGCATGGCCAGTCTGGTGGGTGGATATACTGGGATGCTGGGAAAGGGTTTTAGCTGGTTGGGCTGCAGTGAGCTGCACCGCTGCTAACCAGCATTGCTGGGGCAGATGTGGCACTGCAGATGTGCTGCTGTGTGTCACCGGCACGCCTCGCAGGACGATCACCTAAAGCCACGAGTCTGCAGGGTCCTGCGCTTCTGATGCTCCCCCAGGTCACTCATTCACCTGGGCTTTGCACCTTGTTTAATGTCTATGAATCTCCGCCCTGAACGGCAATACCCTGTCAAAGGACCAGGGCTCTCATCCATCCATACCCGATCCATCCATAGCCATTCTGTCCCCTACAAATTTTGCACTTACTTAGAAAAGAAACGGGGAAGAACTGTGTTACTGGGACCTTGGGGCCAGCCCCCCCGAGCCCTGCGAGGTGATTCAGCTGGGCTGCTGGCTGTTTGGGAACCCGTGCTCTAGCCCAGATTGCTTTTCAAGCCAGCCGAAACCCAGCTCTAATCAAAGACATCCCGTGACAGGCCGGGTACTTTCCCCAGGAGCAATGTAACGCGTGTGATAAGGTATCGGTCACCATGGTACCTACGGGACTGAAACGCCTCGCCGGAGGCTCCCTGCTCCGGGGGCGGGGGGGCAGGTCCTGGCCATGTCCAGACCCTTGCTCTTCCCCAGGCAGCACCGTCCGAGGGGACACGCGTGCG